ATCATTATTATTATTATCCCTTTAATTATTATTATTATCAGTCGTTTTGTCAATGTTTCCCCATAAACGTTTGTTATCTGGGGTGAAAACATGATTATAATCAACATTCATAAGTAGGGGTTATGTTTTACATACCTGCTGGTACTTTACTATGAACAGCTCCACTTATGTCGTGCTGTGTCTTCCCTGTTCCTCAGGGCCTGATCTCTGACGTCAGTCCGGCCCCCATCCAGGCCAGGGACGGAGACGCCCTGGGCTATGACGTCAACTATTACATCACAAATGGTGAGTGCTGAGTCCGCTGATTTTGTACATGAAGAGCACAGGGGAAAACATGGACTGTAGTCAGAAGCTGGAAATTGTGAGGACGCCAATTTTAAAAGCTTGTGGACTTGTAACTTCATATTTGTTTGACGGGTGGTTTATTGTTAAGTGTTGTTGAATGGGGAATGAGTCAACAAGTGTTTAAAATAGGTACCCTCTCGATTTTCAGTTTGTGACTACAGTCGTTTTTTCCCTGTAGGCTTCACAAGTTTAAAGTCTCTTTCGAGGAAATATAGACGAATCTACTCTAACAGTCAACAGTATACCCTGCCCTCTATATGATATGAACTATGGCAGTGGACGTATAAAAGGGTGTTTTAAAGAATTTTTTAATCTTAAAAAATGTAGGATTTTGTATGTGCTTAACGCTAACCTATTAGACTACTGTAGCTTGCAATATGGCGCAATGTTTGTGACTTTTAGTGGTAGGCCTCTTGTGAACTAGTGAGACAGACTCGGGCTGAGAAGGATACAACATCCCTGCAGACAGGTCAAGGTGCTTGATAAAAATCCCCATTCAGGAGTTGAACATGAGTCTCTTAACTCTTTAAACCCTGAGTTTTTTTCCACCGTTTCGCGGAGTTTTTTCTACAGTCACCTAAACCTGGTGCACTATGTCTCAATATAACCCCAAAAGCTTGCCTCCAACTTCTAAATGGCAGAAACAACGTGTGTGTGTGCGTGTGTGTGTGTGTGTGTGTGTATGAGTGTATATATGTGTGTGTGTGTGTGTGTGTGTGTGTGTGTGTGTGTGTGTGTGTGTGTATCACTAAACAGTAACGCCCCATTGATGTGTCCATCCTTCCCCCAGGACCTGACGGCTATGAAGAGTTCCTGCGCATGGACCCAGACACAGGGGAGATGAGAGAGA